TCAATAGAAACAGTTGGAGAGAAATTATTTTTATTTTTCATAATGAATTACAAGTTGTAAGCTACGTTGAGAACGATTCCTGTGATGACAACAGACGTTATCGACAGTATTGAAATTCCACAAGTCTGTACCAATTCTTTCTTTAAGAGATTGCTGCGAGTTAGCTATGTGGAATTCTTTTCTTCTAAGCAGAGTGCTCAAATGGTCGGTGAGCGACTCCCGAATTCCTGAGCTGGAAGAAGTTTCGCATCAGTTTGATGGTTAACGAGAAGTACGCTCAAACCGCACCAACCTTTCTGAAATATGTCTCTTACTCTCTTTCTATAATCCATGTTAGACATGAGAACATAGTATGGAGCGAATATGGGATAGATCCTTATAGCGATGTAGCAACAATCAGAGACGACTGAGATATTCGAGTGTTATGAGAAGTGTTAGACAAGAGCACACAGTAAGGACTAAAGATAGGATAGACACATACACTGATCATGATGTAATGGGAAACATCTGAAAAATGAAAATTAACTCATAATAATCAAGTTGTGTGGCTCAAGTGATACATATGTTTCCAACAGCGAAGTAGAAGCATGTAGTTAAGCAAATGAGCGGAACACCAACTCCTATCGTCTCCAGGATCATCTAAACGATCAGTTGTGTTTGATACTCCCATACACTCATTACGAAATATATAACACCAACAATTATTCTGCGCTGATTGGCTAAGAACTGAGCAGACTGTGTCAACTTTCCTTGATTTCGAATACTGTGCACCAGAAGGATGCCACACGTACAAGATTCAATCGTGCAGAGCACACCGAACAAGAACAAGTAAGCCGTTGCAACGAAGCTGACGAAATCTTGCATTACTACAAGGATAACTCCCTTGAGGATGTCCATTTCTTCTGGTTTTTGTTCTTCTGCAATAAGATTTGTTGGAAATGAATTAATTCAGTGATACCTCTCTACACATCCGACGTACTTCCGGTCCACCATCTTTCAACTGAAGAC